TCCTATTATTATTATTATTACTCCCATCAGTAAACCTTTAGATATAAAATGAGTGCAGTCCCAGAGAAAGAAAGAAGTGTTAAGTACAAGATCACAACCTTCACACAAATATAATATATTTATGTATAAAGCCATTGACACCATTAGACACTTTAATTTAATTTTTCATTCTAATTTTTGTGACCTTAAGATAATTTCCTCATATTCTAGTACATACTTCTTATGCACTGAAGCCCGTTTTTTAAGAAGATATTTTCAGTGTAGTTACCAACCAAAAAATAATTTATTTTTATTGTTTAAAAGAGTACATTCAAATCTCAAATTTTTGCTACTTCGGTGCTGATTGAAGTAGTCCATTGATTTAAAACCACCAGTAATTTTTAGAAATTTTGGGCATGTATTGTATGTACCATATGATCGAAAAAAAGTCGTTTAGTAGACCATGAATTTTATTTTTAAAATAACCAACTTGGCATTTGACAATTATTTGACCGTAACTGTCAAACCGAATAAGGAACACGTTGGTGTTGCCAACACATTTTTTAACATTTAATTTCAACAGCTGCTAGACGACTTTCTGTCTTATCATATGGTATTATCTGATTCGAGGAGTATACGATGTTCCAAATTTTTACTTCCCGAGTGTAACTTAAGAAAGTATTGTAATAGGGTCCGTCAGACGAATGACTATAGTTCATGTTTTTTCGACGTTTCATGACCCCTGGACTACGACAAAATAGGTCTCCCGTTTTCGTTTGCCTATCTGTTCGTTCGTCCGTCCGTCCGCAGTCTGCGTCAAAAAAATTTGGTTGAATTTTATTTAAATTTTACACAATTACACACACATGCACTTGTGGTTTATGAACCCGTGTTCAATTTTTACCATACACATCCAAGTTTTTCGAAAAAAATCTGTATTTTGTAACTCAGTATAACATTTTGCAATTCAACTTTGAAATTGGCAAACCAAATGGTTCGAAATTTCGCAAACATTTTAAGGTTATTGTAAGATTTAAAATGTGCAAGCTCTATATTTGTGGTTGTGCATTAATTTTTTTTTAGACAAAGAAATAAAAAAAATAGCAAAATCAAACTTTATAAATTAACGGAATTTATTGGACTATACTTAATATTTTAATATGCTGTGCTCATGTGACATGTATTAATGTTGTAACTGTTACGAATGAACTAATAATCAAGAAAGTTAATCTCAGAATTGCGAGGTATTTTAAACGGATCTATTAAAAAAAAATTTCTAAAGGTTCGTTCACACGTACAAATCCCTCTAAAGGAAAGCTTCACCTTCGTTGCGCGGCAACACCATTACACTTTTTAAATTAAGCTATTAAGTTTATGTTTCTGATTTTATTTATTAGTTAACATTTACCAAAGTCCCGACCGGCAGTTCGGCGTTTATTTTCTATAATCTTAGAGTTTCTACTCGTCGTAAGACATAGATGATGAATCTAAATTATTATAAACCTAATGCTATCGATTTCCGCTTAGTTTATTGCACATATTCAGAACCTCGTTAGGAATAATTGCAAACCATCATGAAATCTCTATTTTTAGAAGGAAACATTTTTGAGGTAAAATACCTGCGCCAATTTTTTGCCGCAGTTCTAGAGAATGTGTATTTTTCATCTCCGTAACAGTTATCTAAAAACAACGTAGGATAATGGTTTCTCCTGAGACGTCACCACCAGTTACGCATCATCCATTACAGGTAAACTTAATGACGTCTTCACCGTGATTCATACAAAATCCAGCACATAATAATTATTACGATTCATCACAAGCCAGCCATAAACAAGTTCCGTAACAAAAAAAGTCGGTGAAGTGTCTAAGACGAGAACGAACGCAGTGTTTAATTTAACACTAAGCTTCTAACGCAAACACGTAACATTATTACGCTAATGTCGTGTAAAATTAGCAGAACGTCAAAAGGACCCACGTTACATAGTAGTCAGTATATTTGTAACGAATATAGAATTGAGACTGGAATGTCAACAGCTGAAACTGAAAACTGAATTCGCACGCATCGCGAGCATTTCCAGGCTTTTAACGACTTTGTGTCTGTTTGAGCTAGGTCAGTGTGGATTTATTTTTGTGTCTCGGTGGAAAGACGTTCACTAGAAAGATGGATTGGATTAGGTCGTTGGCACGCCGTTCTAATGCCAAAACATCGGGTTTTACTTTTATTGTGACGTAACAAAATATACACTTCAAGGAAAACGATCTGGATGCCGCGATGACAAAAAGTATCACAGACAAAAAACTTATTGTAATTATGTAGACAATACATGGGTATGAGGAGAGAATTAATGTCATTACGGACCTGTGTTTACGTTTTTTGTGAATCTATATTGAATTGTGTCTGAATTTTTTAGTTGTGTACCACTTAAACCATGAGTTTGTTTGATTTGAGGTGTATCTTTGTTGTAAAATGGCTTATTGCCTAGTTTACTGAAACGACTTACGGTTATATATTTTTATTTGGAACATTACCGCAAATAAATAAGTTTACTGTACTGTACTGACAGCTTTAGTATTTCAAAGGCAACAGCTGTGACTGAATTTATTTTTGCTTTTAACGTTTTTCATGTTTTGTTTAGACCTTGAAGACTTTTTGTTTGATAGCAGAACCACTGCTTGTTACGTTGCCGTTGGTAGCTTTTGAAGGACATATTTCCGGAACAATAGCGTAATTTATCTTAAGAACGCGGTGACACACTGACATTGTTTGATCAACGTGATTATCAGATTAATGGTTCTGTTCTCAATTTATATTTTAAGAATAAGTGGATTTTTCAGGTTCTGGCTATAAAAGCTTTTGTGAAAGGAAACGGGGTGTAGTAGTTGAATAAACGTTTGAAAAATAAAAACTGGAGGGCATTGATTACTACATGTTAAGTATTAAGTTAACATTACTGCCAACTTTACTAATTTAACAATTTAAAAAAAAAGTAACCGGATGTTTAAACATATTTCGTTTTGTCCGATTTATTAAGAGAGAGATTTCTTAATCTTTTGAATATGTTATAGCTTTAAAAATTGCAATTGTTAAAACTAGTAATTTTATTTGTTTTTCGCTTCTAGAGTGATAGCAAGACATGACAAAATAACGATGAATGTCTAATTCCACATTTTCTTTACCGTTCACAATTCTTAGAATGCGAAAATCCAGGTTTCCGTTTTAATTTGTCTAATGGAAATGTTTAAAAACATAGATTACTGAGAAGGTGATAAAAATTTGACGATTCATCATATTGCATGTTCTTTTACCTTTGAATTGATAATATTCCCGTATTTCTTATACCGAGTGTCTGGAAAATGGCGGATTAACTCTTCAGTATGTTATATACCGGAGTTTCGGGAGTCCAAAAAAATAATAAAAAAAATCTTTATGATGTAGATTTCGACAAAAACGTAAAATTGCCAGCACTGCACGCACTTAATGCGTGAATACCTCCATCTTACTTTTTGAATTCTAAGTAACGATGGTGACTGAAATCCACCTTTTTTTTAGGACAATAACCATAACAACCGGTAGTCATTAATCGTTGTGCACTATTATTAATAATACAGGGCTTTTATAAATTATTCTAAGGGCGTAGTTGGCCATGGTTTCAAAAATCCCGCTTCGCTGAAATTATGCTCGTGACCACGGCTGTAGAATAGATAGGTTGAGTATCTTTCATTCATTCACGTTCCGGTAGGTGGAATAATTTCTTTCCGTACCAGTTGGCCATGACGCGCGTTATCGAATGGGTCCCTCTTACGGTATTTAGAGGCATTAACATTTGCCACATCAAAAGGACACGATTATACCGACATAAATGACAACTTTGACATTTAATCAAAGCATTTATAGTGAACCAAGAGGTATAAGGTTATATGGCCATCATAAAATTAGTTGACCGCAAATAAATACCCCCTTTGTGTGGTTCGCACTAAGCTTACCGGTTGGCAATAAATCATCTTCTAAACATTTCTTGCTCATGTTTAACAGGGCCGGCTTTCAAAGCGAGTGGTTATTTCGGAACCCTCAGCGGCTGCAGGTAGCAAAGAAATAGTGGAGTGGTGGATTTTCATATTTAGTGAAAGCCGCCCCTGAACGAAACCGCAAGAGCCGATCGAGCTGTAGTGGACTCGTTATTTACCACCCTAAAACCTTTTCTATTGTAAACAACTTAACTTCGACACAATGGGATGATTTTATGGTGGCCATATAACCTTATACAGTTAAATCCATAAGGTTGTAACCACTCGTTAAATTGTAAGGTTGGCATTACAGCCAATGGTGTTTTTCACATGAACAGATTGGTAGCGGCGCATATGTCAAAATTTGACAATTACGCACGAGAGAGTTTTATTTAAATATCTCACAGTTTGTTATTAAACCATACCATTGAAAAATGGTACCGACACGGCATATTGTGATAAATAAGCAGATAAAAATGGCACTTGCCAACTGCCACAATGAATTGAAACTTGCTTATCCCCAAGCATCCTCCCGAGAACTTGAATTCAAGCTTGTAAAAATCTTTTCAGTATGTAGTTATTCTTATACCATGGAAAGAGAGTACTATACTATGAGAGTAACGTATCGACATTCGGAACTTTTTTCATGTTATTACAACATGGTGGTATGTCGAAGGACTTTTAGTTTTAACTATCTCAAGTTGAAAGTGTATATCTCGCTTTTTAGTACAACATTGTCTTTTCAAGTTTTATACCCACTCTTTATATCCTACACAATACAACTAAATGTCCCTCATTAAATTCAAGCACTGCATACTTTCCCTGTAAACTTATCATTAATTCCTATCCTTTCCATAGTGTTCTCGATGTCAAGCCCACAAAATTATAACCCAACACCAATCTGGAGAACCGTTACAAGAAGCAAAGTGGAAACCAAAACAAAAATCGCAGTGGTATTCAAATTTGGAATTTAAAGAAGATCTAACCTACCGTATATTTGACAAAAACAAAAAAAATGAGTTTTTTACTCTTCAGGATTTGTTTATTTTTGCGAAAGAACATCCAGAATATACAGCAAGTTTAAATACTTTACGTTGAGTATTAAAATCCATGGGATTCAGATTTAAGAAAGTTAACAACAGAAAAATAATTGCTTTTTGGTTATTTGGTCTATGTGTTCCCAATGTTTCTAACCACTCCTGTAACAGTAAGTTTAAATAAGCCGTCAAATTATTTTCAACATACCTATTATTTTAGCCTCTGAATTTTGAGAAGTTACATTTTGTTCATTACTACCACTAAAATCGTCAGGACGGAGGAGCATAGCCAGACCTATCGCCTTCAACCAAATTCCTTGTACATTTTGTAAATAACAAGTAGTACCAAATATTAGAGTTATTAAACATAACATTAAAGACTTGTTGGTGTCCCATTTTTTTGATGAAAAATTCCATTGCAACTAATTAAGGTGATCTACCCATTATAGACAATTTTGGTGTTGCTCGCGAGATTGATCATTTCAGTCAAGAGAGCTGATCTTTCGAGTCATATCATAGTTAGCCACACATATAATTATCACGTATACTCATGTACAATAATTTAAACAAATTTTGAATATCTCAGTTATTCCCCATCTGTAAAGTAATTTTTATGAAGCAGCAACAATAAATAAATCAATTCACCTTGTTTTTTTACCAGCCCAATATTTGATTTCATTCGTGACCACAATATTTTTGGGTTCATTTTATCGTAATTCGTAAACGTATCGACTGCAAGTCTAAATTACAGCAGGTGGCATTCTTTCTACAGATGAAAGATAAAACACGTTTCTATTTATCGTTGCTCTTGTATTATAATTACCATGAAGACTCAGGTCATCCTGCTTTTATTGAAAATTGTTTATCAGTTTTTACAATATTGCGACAAGTTACAATGATAATTATGAAATAACCTGTGCAGGAGTGCAAGAATTGCAGTGAAGTCGAACGTAATCATGTGTCGCGAATACATGAATGAACTGACATTATATTGACAGGTCACCAAATATGTCACCAGGCTACTAAAAGACAGATTTACACTGAATACTTTTTAAAAATTTACACTAGGGAGTGGTTACAACCTTATGGATTTGAGTTTAGCTCTTGGTTCACTATAATAATTTTTATGTTAAACGTTCAATCTTTTGGAAGCGTCTTTGACCATTGTTTACACTAGCTACTATGCGACTTCTCTGAAACCGTTTTTGCAGAACCCTCATACAACGCCCCTGCCCTGATCGCGTTCCTACTCTTCAAATGTTATGAGAAATGTTTGTACAACATTTGAAGGTTAGGTAGGAACGTGCCGAGGTTTGTTATGTATAAAATGTACGTTCCTCTCTGAGTTGGCGATCTCGTTAAACCAATTTAAACAGTAATTTCTATCATAATACATCAACTAGAAGTAGAATGACAGTTTTGGCAGCCTGTCAGTTGTCAATTTGCCATTGCAGTAGTGGAAAATTTCATTCATAAAGATGTTAGTGTGTAATCGTAATTCACAGATGGCGAAACGATCTAAAGCGCGCCAAAGCCGCCTAGGACACCCAAATTTTATTCCACCAAATTTCCCTTAGTGTACCAACCTTATATTCTACAGCCGTGCTCGTGACTATGCTTCATTATGACACTTCTCACTTTTCACATTAATGTCTAATGTCATTTAAAGTCGTTGTTTTTATTGTTTTAATGTTGTTCAAGTGCGAATTACAGTAATTTTCGTTGATCCAAGCTCAAAATAACAAAACAGTCATTTTCAGAATTTTGTTTTTGTGCTAGGAAGCGAAGACTGTGAAAATGGTTTACTCTGTTGATCAAGACACTTTCATAGTTATGTCTTGTTATGGCAATCGGACTTCGTAAACGAAGAGTTGTGTATTCTGTAACCGCTTATGAACAAGAATATCTGGCCAAATACCGTGATTTAATAATTCAAGAAACATAGTTAAAGGCCCACATTAAAGATGTAATCAACAGATTTGTTCGAACAGGCAGTATCAACAAAGAGAAATCTCGTGGAAAACTTCATCTGAGGAAATTGTTGATGACATGAGACGATCTGAGTAGAATTGAACAATTGAACAAGGGTCCAAAGTATTGACGAAAGGATGTTACAAAACATTTTTGAAATTAAAAAGAGAGGGAACATGTGCCTTGAACAGAATGATGAACATTTTCAACATTTACTGTGATGTTTAACCGCAATAAATTTGTTTCTTTTTATCGTGGTGAATTAGTTTTATTTTTTAAAAACATGAAGCCTTTAGGCAACCAGTTATACACATGTGTGATCTTTGTCATGCGTCCTTGGGCACTTAGTACGGATCTTCGTACAGTTAAATTTGAGAGGCGGCACGTTTACATGACCTACGCGACCCAATAATCATTTATAGAAACCCTGTACAATCTGCTATTTTTCATTAATAAATAAACCAAAAAAAAAAACATTTAAGAAGATATTTAATATTTATAAATTATCAACAAACACAAAACCAACAAAAGAAAAATCCGTTAAAGGATAACCAACTAAACACTAGAGAAGATGTTCAAAATTCCTGCCTTGTGTATATAAGTGCTCGTGATCCGAAATTTTGATAATTTTTTGTAAAAGGTAGTAATTAGTACTTGCTAAGATAAGACTGATTTTGGCTAATGAGATACCTTCTAAAAAAAGAGAGGGTGGGTGGGCGGGGCTAGTACTTGCTAAGATAAAGCTGATTTTGGCAAATGAAATACCCTCTAAGAAAAGAGAGGGCCGGTGTGCGGGGCTAGTAGCTGCTAAGATAAAACTGATTTTGATAAATGAGATATCCTCTACGAAAAGAGAGGGCGGATGGGCGGGGCTAGTAATATTTGACATATTGTCTAGAAAGGTGATCTGAGCTTCTGGGATTTCATACACGTATCATAATCTCTTCTAATTGTCTAAGAAAGGAGAGGGTGGGTGGGCGGGGCTAGTACCTGCTAAGATAAGAGTGATTTCGGCAAATGAGATACCCTCTAAGAAAAGAGAGGGTGGGCGGGTGGTTCTACGAGCCCTAACAACTAAATATTGGGACACCAAAAAATTTTTATAAAAAAATCACCAAACTTTTTAACAAAAATGTAATTTATTTTAGATAATTAAAATTTTAAAATTACTTCGTTTTGCAAGACTGTTAATGTTTACAGCACAACAAAAACTGATTTCTAACTCAAACAGTGACATAAAACTCTAAAACAACGTAACATTTTGTGACACATAAATATTGGGACACAGCAAATTCAATAACTGGTTATATCTCCTTTTGCCTTAATAACTGCAGGAATTCTTGCCATCATACTTTCAACTAATTTTCTGCAATACACAGGAGTTGTTACCGTATCCTACACTCGCTAAATTTCTTGTTGAAGATTGACAATCGCTTGTCATGGATGATTTCCTAAATATTTTTTTATTTCACGCCATACCGTCTCTACTAGATTAGGATCTGGGCTATTCGATGGTCAGGGCAAACATTTATATTATTATTCTTTGTAATAAGTGTTGTAGGTGTGTAACTTGAAGCATCATCCTGTTGAAAAATATAAATATCAACAGGATAGACTGCTTCAGTAGTTGTTAATATTTTTTTACAAAGTCTCTTGACATTTGTTTGAATTTGTAATTTCCTTTCCATGAACGTTGTTAACTGGTCTTTAAATTCTGTTAATAGACATGCACCCCCAAACCATTTTTCCGCTTGCAAACTTGACTGATTGTTTAAGATAATCCATATTAAAATTCCTTTTTTATTTCAATAACTCTTTTTCGACTATTATCTCACCCATACATCAAATTTGGACTCAGCGTTATATATTACTTTTCTCCAATTTTTATTTTGGTCATATTAACCAATTTTTCTTATGGGCAGTTTTTAATTGTGGTTGTACTTTAGCCTAACATAATATAAATAAATAATAAAGTCAATCAAAGATAGCTTTATTTAAGATTTACAATGTAAAAACCAAGGCCTGATTTGTGTATCCATTCGCGACAATATTGTCTTGAAACATTTAATTGGTTATCGCTATTCCAGCAAGTAGTAATTTCTCTTGAAGTACTCCGTCGTCCACTTTTATAAATTTTTCATCAGTTGTCGTTGATCACGCGGCTTCACAAGTGGTGGCCTACCGGGAATTTTACCTTTTATTCCTATGGTACCTCTGTCTGCGTAATATTTTACGATGTTTACCATCGACGACTAAGCTATTTAAAACAAATCTTCACCTTTTTTTTATCGATTTTCCCACGCAGTACTGCGAAATTATTATTTTCAGAAATTTTACTAAAACTAGCCCACCACTAACTATTTTCTTCTAAGTGAAACCAACACTAGTAAGAAATGCTACGATCCCTATAATAATGGCAGCATTTACCAGCCACTACGTTTGTATTTCGATGGTATACTTAGCAAATTTTCTCGGGTGTCCCAACATTTATGTGTCAGCAAAAATGGCACATTTTTTATTTAGGTGACAATTTTTGCGCTCTAAGAAAATTTATTAATTTGCAAAATACCTCACTCTCTGCCAAAATAGATGCCCATGCAAAATTTGCATTTAGTCCAGACGAATTGAATGATATCAAAAATATATACCGGATTTTTTTGAGAAATTGTCTGTGTCCCAATATTTAGTTGTTAGGGCTCGTAGTACCTACTAGGATAAGATTGATTTTAGCCAATGACGTATCCTCTAAGAAATTTAATTTAATTATTATAAGAAAAGACATTAGAGGCTCGAAAGCATTTTCAAATTCTTTCCAAACAGGAGTAGAACCTCAAGATTGTTTTAAATTTTTCAAAAAAAAAACGAGGTTGTAAAATTAACTCAAAAACAAAGTCAGGTCAGAATTTTCCAAAAATAGAACACCAAAGTCCCCCAAAATTGTTTTAAATAGGTCATAAAAAAATCTCCATGGACTCGGTATTTAAAAAGTCTTCCGAATTAAAAAAAAGACACTCTGGCACTCAACACTTTCAAATTCGTAAAAAATAAAACACTAAAAGTTCAAGAGATTTTTTCAAGTTCACCCAGCAACAAAACACCAAATTCCTTTAAATTTATCCGGAAATAAAACACCAGGGAATCTAAAATTAATTGCGAACATTTTAAACGTATGGTTTTGGAAACATATTTTTATCAAATTATTACAAAAACAGCACAACCATATATATTAGTTATTGTGGTAATGAATGTGTTGTTCAGTTGTTAAACGTAGCAAAAGAACCAATTTTAAAATCATTATAACTCCACCAAAATGTGAGAAGGAATTTTTTAAATGTATTTCCCAGACTCATCAGTTGACAGTTAAGAGTTAATCCGCCATTTTCCAGACACCCGGTATACAAAACTAATATATAATATACAGGGTGAGTTATCAAGCGCGCTGTCCTCGATGTTTCATTAATTTTTACAGTTAGAAAAAAAGTCAAAGACCAAGACAAGTTGTACGGTCCTTTGAGGACTATACTCTAAAATTATTTTTAACTAAACAGAATATTCTGTGTTTAAGGCGTAACACGCTATTTAGTTTTTTCTTTTTTTAATGAAACACTATACATTTTTAGATATTCTTATTAATTCTTCCTAGGGTTTATTACTACAGCTTACTTTAAAAATTCCGATGCGTCGCTGCCACGTTATTTCAATTTTCTTGATTTTTTTTAGAAATGGAAGAGTTAAAAAAAATTGCAATAGGGTTATTTTTAAAATCTCTGTTACATTATTGTGTGGAAGAATAAATAGAGGTTGTATAATACGCATTTTGTTGTGGTGTCAGTTAAATCAAATTCTAAACTTTACAATTTTCAAATATCGATATTTCAGTTTTTTCAAATAAAACACTTTGTATTTTCTATTTTATTATTGCATCTTACGGTTTTTTGTTTTCATTCTTCTAATATGTCGATGTTAAAATAAAAATTGCATTAACTATTAATTTTAAATACAGAAAACACTTAACAAAAAAAAAGAGAACAAAAAATAGAAAAAGTTGCAGTACTAAAATATAGGATGTTCTGCTTGAGAAACTTGAAATCGATAGTTGAAATTTGAAATCACAATAAA